TGGTTACTAACTGATGCCAAATTAGGTAAGAAATCTGATATGTACTGTACGTACGTACGTACGCGAAATTATAACGATAACTAAAATGACGTGATTTATTATTTTTAATACATGTTATTAAGGTTTGAAAGTGCCGGACACGGTATCAATAATACACAAGCTTGTGACCGTGTTTGAAACTTGCAGAACCCTACTTGTTACATACAAATTCACAGGAACAAAAATACGAAACGTAATGAACATGAACATGTACAGTACATGTTGGATATGTACGTATTAAAGCCTGGATCTGTTATCCGTTATCCGTTTTCCATATTAAATTTAACACGGATTCAAGTTATAGTTATGTAAATGCATACGTATGCGTAAAAAATAAAAATTATATCTTGAACGATCGACATTAATATTAAATAAACTCAATCTTAAATATTTAAATAGTTCCAAAATTTAATTAATCAATTCCGAATCTTAAATATTTAAATAGTCTCAAAATATAGTTAAAGGAAAAAAAATCTAACCCACCAATCCAATTTCTTTCCTTTTACACATCTCTAATGCTTTAGGCTGTCCTTGCAGAGCAGCTTTTCTTAAATATATAATCCCTAGTTCCTTATCCTGAGGAACTCCTGAACCATTATAATATAGGTTACCAATATTATACAATGCAGTAGTATTACCGTTATCTGCTGACTTTTGAAAATATTCAATTGCTTCTCTTATATTCTTTTGAACACCTTCTCCTGACCATAAACAATGTCCGTAACGTAACTGAGCATCAGCTAATCCTGTATCTGCTGCTTCTTTAAATAATGCTGCAGCTTTTACTAAACGTTCATTTTTCTTAACTTCGTTATCAGGTTCATCTATTGGACAAAGTCTATAATAAAGATAGTATCCTACCCAATATCTGATATTAAATTGTTTACCGTATTAGAAATCATAAAATTAACTAGATTTTTCGAAATAAAACATTAATTGAAAAATTTAAGTACCTCGCAGTAATATCACCAAAGTCTTCAGCATGCACTTTAAATGCTTCCCATACTTTTAACTTATCACCATTTCTTTTCCTATGCTCTGCAATGGCTTCTTTCATACTCAATACATCAAAAGTTAAATCATCCAAAGAAAGTTCATTTGGATCCATATCGGGTAAATCTTCGTCCGTAAGCATACGAGGTGTAACAGGACGTGGAGATGATTTAGGTTGAAATGTTTGATAAAGACTGTAAAGAGTCATAAAAACATTTTTGAGAGCAGGACGAGCATTTGGACTATCTTGCATTGATTGATAGGAGATTTTAGAATATTCAGTTGGAACACCGATACTAAAAGACGGACGAATTTTTTGTACCAATACAAGATTTCGAATTTCTAATATGTCTCTTTCATTTTCAAAGGGTATTTTTTCCTCAGCGATTTCCCATAAAAGCATACCAAAACTTAAAAAGATTTTTTTTTTACATATTAAGGAATTATTAAAAAAAAAAAAAATTTCAAATATATAAAGATTCAAGTCAAATAAAATTTAATTTAATTCATACCTATATATTTCGCACTTTACAGTATAAGGATTCCTTTCATGATCACTCAATTTTTCAGGAGACATCCATCTTACCATTTCAATAGTGGGTAAAACATTTTTAGTAGGGTCATTAAAACCACGACTTAAAGTGAAATTTGCAATTTTAGCTTGTTGATGAATTGTAATTAAAATATTTTCCGAACGGACATCATGATGTAAAATAGATACATTATGAAGAAAAGTTAAACCACGAACAATATCAACAGCCATAGAAGTTTTTTGAAACCAAGTAAGAGGACCATAACCTCGATAAAAATCTTGTAAATTTCCATATTCACACCATTCTGTAACCATATACATAACATTACCATCTTGAATAATACCAAAAAATTGAAGAATATGTTGAGATTCTTTTAATTTTTTCAAGATAACAACTTGACTAAGAATATCATTAATAAGATCTTGATCATTAGATTCCAAGAATTTTTCTTTAACAGCCACATCTTCGTAAGTTAAAGATTTTTTTGAAACTTTTCCACGTTTTACTGGATTAGGAGGATCATATAAATCAGTCATCTTAATCAAAGCAGATTCAAAAATACTTTCGTCATTGTTTAACAATTTCTTTTGCCAAGCTAAATTTAATTGAGTAATATCATCTAATTTTGAATTAATTTGAGTTATATTATCGGTGATATTGGTGATACCACCTTCAATTTCTCTAAGGTACTATTGATAAAGTACGTTAGTAAAAGAAATACAATAACTAACTAAATAAATGTTATAAATAAATAAATAACTAAATAAATAGCTAAATAACTATATAACTAAATGACTAAATAAGTAAATGAATGCATATGTATAATACCTGAGTCATCTCGGAAATATCTTGTTTTAAAATTTTTCTATCTTCTTCCATCTGTATAAGATTTTGTACAGCCATTGTAAAATTCAATAAACGCATTAATCCATCAAATTCATCAGTTAAATATTTAAATTCATCTTCAATAGATTTAGAAGCCAAAAATCTTCTTAAACCTTTAAGTTGAGAGACTTCTTCAATAAAAATTTTAATTTTACTAATAACATTAACAAGTTTTTGAAAATTTTTATAATATTCTTTTGATTTAAATAAATCTTCATTTTCAAGTCTACGAATTTCTAAATTAGTTACAGCAGTTTGAGCAGCTGTTGCACGAGAAAGAAGTGAACCACAGATGCGTTTATTATGCTCAGCAGTTTGATAAAGAGTAATTATTTCATTAACTATACTTGATATTTCAGTTATTAAAGGAACGAATGGTACAATAGCGTCAGCAACAACAGCAGCAGAACTTGAAAACACTTTTACAACACCAAGAGTGCTGTTAGTTACGTTAGCTGCATGATTGATATAAGAAGAGGCATCAGACATTTTGGAAACAAAAAGATGACTACTAAAATAAGACAATTTTCTTTGAACCGAAATTTTATTTGTAAACACTGCAATATTTGTATCACGTGACGGTAATTCGAATCTCTATGCTAAATTTAGGAGGAGACTAAAAAGTGAAGTAGTTCATGATATATATTTAACAATTATTAATTAAAATTAAGGTTCGGGTGAGGGGAAAGTATTATAAGTAATATTGCTTTCCAGATTATTTTTTTTTATTAGTGCACCGAGATAGGCTAATATAGACTTAAGTAGAGGTGCAGGCGAAACTCCGTAACTTGCCGTAGCTATTGCTGTAACTTGTCGTACCATAATAAAGCTCGGCAATGCCATAACCATGACATATTAACAAAGATAGTTACGACAGCAAACCTAGTAGCGCCCATAAAAAAAAATATGTGGTATATTTTATATATTTTATATACAGCATATTACAGTACATGATTCTTAATTTACGAATACTCAGTTTGATCATTATCTATTATACAATATATACATTATGTCAGCTATATTTTTTTGTGGGCGATGCTAGATTTGCTTAGTTACAACAAGTTACGGGAGTTTCACCTGCACCTCTAGGCTTAAGCTTAAACAACCCTCGCCGAAGTAACCGTTTCTAGTATTGTCGTGTTTTTCTTTTTTTATTATATATACTCGATTAGATAAATTAAATAAGGTATTGGTATTATATAGTATACAAGTAGATAATTTATTTTTATTTTTAGCATAATATATAAAAAGATCACCAACCCGTTGAAAGCGCGAATATATAGTATTCAAAGCATTTTGACGCACATTTTAGAAAATTATTATAATTATTATTTTTATTTTTATATTAAAAAGTTATGCTAGTATTTACCATAAAAAGATAATCAATACATTTTTATATGATTTATTAAATTCCTTTAACCATATTATATACTTTTTACAATAAGGCTGGCAATGGAGTTCAATGAAGGTCCGAATGGAGGATCTCTTAGTATAGGTGACCACCCATTAATAAAATATATTATCAATCAATGGATTTTAGAGTAGTGTCACCTATACTAAAAGAGATCCAAAAATAGTTTATATACAATATATAATATTAGAAAAATTACTGTAATTACTTGTGGTGATCAAAAAAGTTGTAAGAAAGAAAATTTCTTTTCAATAGTTGATTAGTAGCGACCATGCAGGCCTCACATTTAACCGTAATTCTGGAACTGATAACAAAAGAAAGATAATCACAATCATTTAAAAATTAAGTGAATCAAAACACACTAAACTCAATCATTCCAAAAAAAACTGCAACTCTAATTAATCTAAGTATCACTGTGCAGTTTTAGTATCAAATATAATTAAACAATGTCTAGAAATATTTTTTTGGGAGAAGAAAAATTACGAAATATTGCGATACTAAGAATAACATTTATTATAGTGCATAACTTTAAATATAAATTCAAATATAATTTTTATAATTTATAATATAAATTACATATGTATATTAATTCTATTATAAATTATGATAATGCCATAGAACGCAGGAGCGAAAAGAAAAAATTAACGATTCGACAGATTTGAAAAATTTTGAGTAGCGATAATTGTTGCTGTGCAGAAAATAAAGATTAGATATTAAAAGAGATTACAATAATGAATAATAAAAAGTATTATATAAGAGTTTTGGGTCTTTTAATCAAAAATGCGAGATTTACATCTTCATCAAATTATTCTTTTGAATAACGCGAAACAATCCATTGATTATTTTGCAACTTTCTGATAACTGATAACCTGTTTTTTTTTGCCAAGACTTTTTTTTACATCATTTTTAAAATGTATCATTTTGAAAATGATGCTAATATGTATTCTCTATCCACTTATACTTACCCTAATAATATTAATTCAGAACAAAACGTTTCATCGTTGTCATTTGATGCCTATGCAACTTACAGGTATGTAATTAATTTAATCATGATTATAGAACAACTTTTTAATAAAATTTTTAACATTTTAAATTTTAGAGCCGAAAACTATTATCCAGGATCATCCTTTCTTTCATATTCACCACAATCTACTCCAGTTCAACCTAATGATGTCTACATGGTTCCATCTACTACACCCCAACTCGATTCAAATCTTTGGTTTATCGACTCACTTACATCCAACAATACATCTTTAGTTACTCAACATTCAAATCTAATTACAAATAATAATACTTTACGAAAGAAGCAAGAAAATTGTAAAGTATGTTCAGATTGTGGAACAGATCAAACTTCAACATGGCGTAAATATGGAACAAGTCATTTATGCAATCCGTGTGGAATTTATCGTACAAAATATGGAATTCAACGTCCAACTTACCGTGACGTTGATGGTAAAATCAGGATCAAAAGAAGAAATACTCAACAAAATAGGGAATGTGCGAATTGTAGAACCACTGAAACGCCATGTTGGAGAAAGCTTGAAGAAAGGAGATTGTGTAATAAGTGTTGTTTGTATCAAAAATTACATGGTCATCCGAGGCCACAAAAGATTCGAGGTCGACCGTACTAATCATATTGATTTGTTTGTAAAGATTGAACTATTATAATACTCGTTATACAGAGTATGTTAATTTTTTTTAAGAATTTTTATAGAGTAATCCTATAAGTATTGAATAGATTTTGGAATGGTCTTATTTTTCATATGCAAAAACCGATTATCGCTATTTTCGAAATGGTTGATGGCAGATAACATTCATTTTGGTGAATATATTGAATACTCGAATACTTGATTACCTTAGCACATTGATTAAAGGTCGATGCCCGATTTTACGCATATACTATATAAAAACAATTACATCGTATGTATGTAAATTTGGGGTATCGACCTTTAGTCAATGTGTTAGGGCAATCGAATATTCGAGTATTCACAGTATTCACCAAAATAATTTTTTATCTGCTATTTTCAACCATTTCGAAAACAGCTATAAACCTGGTTTTAACATATAAGAAATTAAAACCGCCAAACTCTAGTATTAAAATCCGAAAAAAATCGATGATAAAGATTATGATACCGATACAATTTAATGTAAAATTAGTGATAATAGTTCCACACAAAATAAATGATTAGCGCAGTAGTGAGATAATCTAAAAGAAATTTTAAGTGCATGCGTAAATATAGAATTGACTCTTCCGTACATATTTGATTGATTTATATAATTGTACATAATTGACATATTCAGCTCAACAAGGAAAAATTACGAGAACTCATTTTCTCAGGAATAAAATAAGACGTTTGTGAAATACTGTAACTTGTCAGGTTCTTCAATACACATCTATCCATGTAAATGCCAAATTATTGAGATTGATTAGATCAAAAAAATCGTATTTTTTTTTTTTTTTTTACACATCATTATCATGGTATTTAAAAAAAATTTAAGTACCATCACATATATCTCAATAAGTAACCCCCCTGTGCCCTATTTTTTTTTTAATCTCAGACTATCGGAAAGCAAAAGAAGTCATCCTTACCGTATTGTCTCGAAATAACGCCCCGGGGTGTAGGTTAAAATTTTGGCCCAAATTAAGCTTTATTTAGGCCGAATGAAGCTTAATTCGGGCCAAAATTTTAACCTACACCCCGGGGCGTTATTTCGA